CAACCCCTTTCTAACAATGAAAATACACTGTGGCATTAGGAAGGTTGAGAACCACTGCACTAAAGGAAGAAAGGAGAGGGTGATGGAGGAAGGTTAGCTTAGGTTAGAGGCCCTTCCAGCTTTAAAAGTCAATAAATGCTAATTTGGCTGTTTTAAGTATAGAGCTGATTAATGTCTACATAGCTTATAAGAATGACTACTTTCACAATCTGAAATTTTCCTTTGGTATATAGATAGGCTTAGGATTTGTATTTCAGAGAGAACAAAGAAGAAGAGGTATAACAAAAGACAGGTAATCTTTATTAATAAAAACTTTTAGCCCCCAGGATATATTTGGGGAATTTTTGCTTTGTTTTGGTTTTGGCTTATAAGTAAACAGGTTGGTGTTTAAAAAGTGATTTCTAGAGAATGTTCACATCCAAATTATTTTCATGAATTCTGTATCCCAAGGGCAGCCCAATCAGCCTGCTACACGGGAACCTTACCATGTTGTATAATTTGCTGCAATATTTATAACTAAGTCATGTAGATATATTCTATGGAATTTATTTTTAACAAGCATTTACATAAACAATGTGGAAAAAGTCAAGTTGAAAAGTGAGCAGGTTAGCACTTACAAAATGATTTCTAGGGATTGTCTATATTCAAATTTTATTTTCGCGAACGCTTATATTCTAAGAGCAATACAATTAGCCTGTTACGTAGGGCCCTAATCTTGTTAGTATAGTGTTGTTGAAATACTTCCTTCAACTTTTGCCTTAATAAATTCAAAGAGGGTAGATGATGACTATCTGGTATATTCAACATGATGTGAAAAAATTCATTCCACATATCCAAATGAGGAAGCCTGAAGAGACAAAGCATAAATAATGGATAAACGGTTAGCCTTCCACATTCAGAGCAACCCTCCCCCTGCATCTGACTTCTACAGGCTCAGTTTCATATAACAACTCTCTCCTAAACACAACTTAATGCAGCAACAATGGAAATGTTAACTCTATTATAAATAAGAGAAATTAAGGATTCAATTAAATGTCTATATACATCTTGTTCCAAAAAAAAAAAAAATGTGTGTGTGTGTGTGTGTATGCATGAGAAGTAGTCTATTAGCAATAGCTCTTCAGTAGAAAAAAATTTCTCTCCCTTAAAGAAAATCTGGTTTTGGCTAGCTGTATATACCACCCTGCCAGAATCAGATAATCTGACCAAATGGCTCAGCCTAATTGTGCATGTGCCAGGATGAAGGAGACAGGCTGGGCTGCCCAGGAGAGCGCTCAAGAGTTCAATGTTAAAAGTTAACTGCAAAACTCCAGAACATGGAGACGAGGTATTGGGGCAGAAGTTGAATAACTGAATTTTACCCTAGACAAAAAATGCAGCCCATCATCAGGCCTTCTGAGGGCTGACTTCAGGATTTTCTCTCCACACTGATGGCCAGAGATGAAACTTTCTGGTGTTTCAATTATGAGTGAGAGAAAGAATAAAGGATTTGTTCATTATCTGTTATAAGTTTGCCTCCAGGGCCTGAACCTAACCTTATTTATGTTGGCATACATTTTATGGAATTATTGCTGACTCTTTTTCTTTCTTTTTTGTTTTTTTTTGGAGACAGAGTCTCACTTTGTCACCCTGGGTAAAGTGTCATGGCATCATAGCACAGCAACCCCAAATTCTTGGGCTCAAGCAATTCTTCTGCCTTAGCCTCCTGAGTAGCTGGGACTACAGGCACCCACCACAATGCCCAGCTGTTTTTTAGAGATGGGTCTCACTCTTATCTCAGGCTGGTTTTTAACTCATGAACTTAAGCAATCCATCCGCCTCACCCTCCCAGAGCACTAGGATGACAGATGTGAGCCACTGCACCTGCCCCACTGCTGACTTTTTTCTTTTTGAGAGGTAAGGAGGATGGAGAAGGCCTGTAGGAGTCCCATTTTAAATTTTTTTAAGAAGGTATAAACATATGTATGAATGTAGTTAGGCTGATATAGACAAGTACCTTTTTTTTTGTGAATATTTTTATACCTTAGAAAAGGTCAAAGTATAAGTGATATAATAAATGTGCATGAACCAAATACTCAGTTTCAAGAAAATATCACCAATAGTTTGTCCACACTTGTTAAGATACCAATCCAGGCTGATAGAAAGACCTCTTGTTTAGTTATGAATTTTCACTGTGATTTTATAGATGAGAAAACAGTCCTTGAGAAACTAAAGTTACCCAGGGCTGGGACTTAAAACCCTGTCCTGTGGTAGCTGCCTCATCATATCACTTTGTAATTTACAAGGCACTTTCATGTATATGTTATTTCCTTTGCTTCTTATAACATCTGAGAAAAGTAGGATCAGCATTATTTGGCAAAGAACAAACAAACAAAAACCCAAGGCTCAGTAACATCAGGTGATCCCTCTAATGGGTAGATCTGAGGGTGACAGGATGCTCACCAGTAGGCCAGGAGTTCTCAATGATCCTAGGAGGGCCTCAGCTGCCCCGTCCTTACAGATGGGGAAAAAGAAGTGGTGAAGCTGTGTAATGTCTCCCTGTGCTCAATGCCCAGGATTGTGTTCTGACTGTACTGACCAAGACATGGCGTTTCCGTGAGATGGCAGAGATGGAACGCAGCATTCTACAATATATTCACTTTTTGCTGTAGCACCAATGCCAAATACTCACCTTCTAAAAAGCCCTTCAGGCTTCCAGACTCCTCCTTCATTTTTTACTTTCATGTATGTGCCAAAAAGCATGCAGTATATTGTTGCAGCCACCCCAAAGTAGTCAATCTACAAAGGAAATATAGTTAATATATGACTTAAACAGTAATTTACACATGAATATGTTAAGATTCTAACTTAGGCAAGCTAAATACTCTATAGTATTTTAAAGAATTTTGGAAGCCATTTGTTCAACCATTCCCACTGATATACTGTACTACATCTAGGCATGGCTGCAGGCGTCCACAGAAGGCAGACCACCTGCCCATTACCTCCTCAATGGCCCCTTGAAAATCTCTGTCCCCCTGAGCCACTGCGTCCTCCTCAGGGTCTTCATTCGGTCACAGAGGCTAACACAACACTCTGATTCCTCTTCCACATGGACAACCTGGGAGTGCTCCCAATGCCCTCTCCTGGGACTCGGGTTGTAGTTCTCTGACTATACTCAAGGCTTCTTGCTGTGTGATGTGTTCACAACTGAAAAGAACATTCTAGCATCGTCTACAACCACAGGACAGAAGACGACCATCTCATAAGACCTACCAGATGCTAGAAACAAAACCCTCACCTTTGCCCCCTTTATCCTGGGCTCCTGGAAAGACATGGTTCTCACCTGGAAACTAGATGGTTGGTTTTTTTTAACCCAGGTTCAAAAGTTTCCATTTATTCCAGTTAGTATTCTCTTTCTTGGTTATCTGATAATCTAATTGATTGAAAATTCTGAAACCTTCCTTCAGGATAAATAATGATATTTTCCTAACACCTTTTGGGTATGAGCATGCATCCACTTAGAACTCTGACGGTACCATCTACGACAGTCAAATCCATCACCTTGCCTATGAAAGCCTTGCAAGTATATCCCACATGTGTTCAATTCTGCCTGGAGGCGGCATGCTGGTTCTCCCTGTTAACCACAAAGGAAACTGGGCTGCCTCATTTGATCTCAGTAAACTGAGGTGGCCCTTCGTTGGATGACTTCCTTTCTGAAGGGTTCACAGATCATTTAACACTTTTTCCTAGGAGCAAAACCACAGAGTATGTTTTCCTTTCTGATACCAGAATCTATAATTGATTAATTAAAAAGTAGAGTACTCTTAGGAATAGAATTTTATTCCCTTGCCCCAGCTGTAAGTTCATCTTTCCTTCAACTGCTGCTCAAAACCAGCTCAAACCAACTAGATCCCCGAATTCATTTTGAAAATCTGCTAAGTACAACAAAGGAAGATATTTCCAAATCTCTCACTTTAGTTTTATACCTGGTAGTTCCATGGTTTGTTACTGAGCATCTCAGTACACTGAAAACCAGAAGTTTCACATTTGGCTGTGAATGTAGTTCCTTTTGGGAAAAGCTTCATATCTATACTCTGACCCAGGTCAATCAGTGCCAAGCCAGCAGAGAAATCATCATCTTCAGCATCCTGTTCCAAAAATCTATATTAAACACAAACAAGGCCAGGCTATGTGAGCACAAGTGATGAAAGGCCGGTATGGAAATAGTAACAGAAGAATCTTACAAATCTTATGATAGTAACAGAAGAATCTTATATAAATCTTAACAACACTTGCCCGCCTCCAAGTATGAAATTGTCTGGCTTAATGTCTCCATGAATGATTTCACAGGCGTGCACTTGTTCCACCATGTAAAGCATTCTCATTGCAAAAGAGATCACGAGACCTTGAGGCATTACTTTTTCAGGGGTATTTTTATAGAGGTTTATGGCATTCTACAAACAATGGAAAATGGAATCCTGAGTTAGCCGCACAGAATACATAAAATTTCAAGGTAAAAGCTTTTTCCCTGACCACCACGCCAATGAAAGCTCCAATTCAAAAGGTATTATAATATGTATAAGCCATAAGCCAAAGATGCATTTCAAATTCATGTTCCTAACATAAAAAAGAATATACTTACTAACAATGTTCCATAGCTATAGAGGTCTCCTACTAATACACTGCCATTCTGGAACAAGTGGGCAGAATAGAATTTGATAAACAGGTGTTGCACAGTTGGCTTTAGTCTCTCCATCAGCTGGGTTCCAATGTAGAACTCCCAGCGGTTGGCAGGCTTCTGGACCTGCAAATCAGATATTGACATTCATATCCAGTCTCACAGTCTGAAAAAATGATAGCAAGAAAGCAACCTCTATCCCAGTAAAGACGTGGGATTGTGAATGATGACAAGCTATATAGGGCTTCTTGTAGCATAATTTTAATGAAAAGGCAATTCTGAATCCTTGTAGTTTTTGGTTTTTGATTGCTGACTGTAGACATAAATGAAAACACCACTATCTTAAAAGAGGAAAAAAACAAAAAAGGCTGACAAACTCAAGTTGTAAATTTTGTTTCTACATTGTACAAAAACTGCTCAGGTCATTTACCTTTAAAACAAATTTCTGTTTATTTTTAGGATCATTCACATCTCCCTGGGTAACTTCATAGACCTGGGCAAAAGCTCCTTCTCCAAGAAGGTGATGGACATAGACCAGCATAGACCCTTAGAAGAAAGATATGTCAAAATGGCAACAAGGTTCAAAACATTAAGGATTTTATCAAAATGAAGAACTGTAAAATTACGTTGGTGCTTAAATTTCTTTAATAAATAAAAATGGATCAAGCTCCCTTAGGAAATGTTTTCTTAGTCTTAGATGAAAGTTAAGTATCTGCCACAGAAGTCCCCATTGGATGCTCTGTGAAGGGGTAAGGACAGCACTGCTGGGCCTGGGGCACTTGGCTGTGTGACTTTGAGGAGTCATCTTTTCTTTACAGCGCTCTCATATTTTAAAGGGGGGGAGTGCGTAAATGCCTGTGCTGCCTTCTTTGTAGAACTGTTGAGATATTAGAAAAAGAAAAATCCTCTGTATAGCGCTAAACAAAGCTCTTCGAAAAATGTATTTTAGAACAGAATAAAAAAGCATAATTGGGTGGTGCCCGTAGCTCAGTAGGTAGGGTGCCAGTCACAAATACCAAGGCTGGCGGGTTCAAACCCGGCCTGGGCCAGCTAAAACAACAATGACAATTGCAACAAAAAAGTAGCCAGGTGTTGTGGTGGGTGCCTGTAGTCCCAGCTACTTGGGAGGATGAGGCAAGAGAATCGTTTAAGCCCAAGAATTTGAGGTTGCTGTGAGCTGTGATGCCACAGCACTCTACCAAGGGTGACATAGTGAGACTCTGTCTCAAAAAAAAAAAAGAAAAAAGCATAATTGCACTTTGTAATAGATAACTTAAAGAAAACTTTTAAGTAAACCTTTTATTTTAAAGTGGTTTTTACTTTACAGAGTAGTTGCAAAGAAGAGTAGAGTTTCTGTATATTCAGCATCAAGTTTTTCCCATTAACTCTTAAATGACCATGGTATGTTTGTCACAAATAAATAAAAAACAGTAGTATGTTCCTATTAACAAAATTCCACCTTTTACTCAGATTTCACTAGTTTTTCCCCACGATCCAGGGTATATTATGTCCCCTGCACTTTCCAGGCTGTGCATTTCTCAGATGTTCCTTGTTTTTGGTGATTGTGACAGTTCTAAGGAACTACCACAGTTCTACAACAGTCAGGTATGTTGTAGATTCCCTCAAATTGCATTTGTTTTGAGATTTTTCTTATAGTTACTTTAGGGTTACTGATTTTGAGGAGAAAGACCATAGTGGGGAAATTGTAGTTGATTTTTAAATTAAAAATTAAAAAAAATTCATACATTCAAACTCAGATATAAAAAAGTAGATTTCTGGTTTCTAGTCTAACATATAAAGATCTTAGAAGTCATCACTCTGCTCTCATGATAAGAGAAAAGTGAACATTGAAAAGAACAATTCTTCTTAGATCGCTTACAGAATTATGGTCACAGGGCAAATTGCAGTCCCCCAAACTGGGGAGACAGAAGGTGGACCCAGAGGATATTAGCTTGCCAGAGAAACCAAGGAGCAGCAGCCACTGCTAGAGCCAGTATTAGGATAACAATGAAAAGAATCACTTATCTCAGACCTTCCTTATGAAGTCTCTAAGGAAACCCAAAGACAACAGGGGAAACCAAAAGAAGTACACAAAGGGAAATTTTAGCCTCTAATACATTGATAGCAAAAAGTAAATACAGCCTATAAAACTTCACCCTAAAGGCCTATATCTCTGTTCCTTTCACCTAGTACATCAGGCCTGGCTCTTAATAAAAACTGTAACACATACTAAAAGACAGAAATCACAGCTTGAAGAGACAGAGAAAAGCACCAAAAACAGACATAGGACCAGGTGTGGTGGCTCATGCCTATAATCCTGGGAGGCCAAGGCAGGAGGATCACCTGGGCTCAGGAGTTTGAGACCAGCCTGAGCAAGAGCAAGACCATCTCTACTTAAAAAAAAAAATTAAAAATTTGCCAGGTGTTGTGGTGGGTGCTTGTAATCCCAGCTACTCGGGAGGCTGAGGCAGGAAGATCACTTGAACCCTGGAGTTTGAGGTTGTTGTGAGCTAGGTTGACACCAGGGCAGTCTAGCCTGGTGCAACAGAGTGAGACTCTGTCTCAAACAAAACAAAAACAAAGAACAATAACAGTAACAAAAACCAGACACAAATATGGCAGAGATTTTAGAAATATCAGACTAGAAATTATTTAAAAATTATGATTAAAATGCTAAGGCTGCTAATGGGAAAAATGGACAAAGGGCAAAAATAAATAGGCAACATAAGCAGAAAGACGGAAACTCTGAGAAAGCAGCCAAGGAAAATGCTAGAAATAATAATAATAATAATAAAACACTGAAGAATGCTTTCAACGGGCTCAATAATAGAATGTACATGGCCAGGAAAAAAATCAGTGAGCTTGAAGATATGACAAATAGAAACTGAAATGCAAATAACAAGAAGAAATGAAGAAGAAAAAAAGAAAAAGATGGAACAGAATATTAAACAACTGTGGAACAACTATAAAATGTGTAACATAGGCAAAAGGTAGAATGTAAATACCAAAAGGAAGAAAAAAGAGAGAAAGGAACAGAAGAAATATTGGAGTAATAATGGCTGAGAATTTTCTAAAATTAATGACCTCACCACAGATTCCCCAAACCACAGATCCAGGAAGCTCAGAGAGCAACAACCAGAATAAATACTGAAAAATTGACACCTAGGCATATTGTAGTCAAATTGCAGAAAACCAAAGACACAGAGAAAATATTGAAAGAAGCCAGAGGGATAAAAACCCTTCACCTGTAGAGGAGCAAAGATAAGAATTACATAGGATTTCTCAGAAACCATACAAATAGAATGAAATAAAATATTTAAAATATTGGAAGAAAACTTCAACAATCTAGAATTCTCTAGCCAGTAAAATTATCCTTTAAAAGTGAAGAATAAAGTCTTTCTTATATAAACAGAAATTCAAGGAATATGTTCTAAGTAGACATTGCCTTACAAAAAATGTTAAAAGAAGTTCTTCAGAGAAAAGTAACATGAATTAGGACAGAAACCTACATTGAAAGAGTGTTAGAGAAGGAATAAATGAAAATAAATAAAATATTTGATTTTTCTTATTTTTAATTTAACAAGTAAGTTTATTCAAAATAATAGCAACATTGTATTCAGTGAGTATACATAAGGATAAGTTAAATGAATGATAGCAATGTCATCCCCCATGGGATGGGGGATAGGAATTGTTAATACTCCGGTATAAGGGATACTCTGTCATAAGGTACTTGGCACTACCCATGAAGTGGTATAATGTTATTTCAAAATGAACTTGAATTAGTTGTGAATATATATTGCAAACTCTAGGGCAACCATTAAAAAACAAAAAAACAAAAATCCATAAAAAGAAGTACAATCGCTATGCTAAGGAGATTAATAGAATCATATGACATAATTAAAATCAGAGAAGTGAGAAAGAAGAACAGAAGACAAAAAAGAAAGAACAAGGGCGATGAATAGAAAACTGTGAAAAAGAGAGTAAACATTAATCCAGCTATATCAATAATCATTTTTAAACATCGATGCTCTAAATATAAACACTGTCTGGGAGGTATCCAGCTATTGTTAATAATGCTTTTCACATTAAATGGCTTGATATTTTCCAGATAGCCCTTATATATATATCAATGAAAACAGAGACATATGCTTTAAATATAAAGACACATAGATTAAAAGTAAAGGAACAGAGAAAGATATACCATTCTAGCATTAATCAAAAGAAAGTGGGAATAACTACATCCATTTAAGACAGAGCAGATTTCAGAGTAAAACAATGATCAACTGGGGTCAATTCTCTAAGAAGATATGATATGTATAAGCCTAATAAAAGAGAGTCAAATAGCACTGCAAGGAAAAGTAGATGAATTCATGATTATAGCTGGAGACTTCCATCAGAAATGGACAGATCAAGCAGGCAGAAAATTGGCAAGGACATGGTTGAAGTAAACAGCGCTATCAGTTAACTGGATCTAATCAGCATTTATGGAATAACTTCATCCAATACCAGAATATAAATTCTTTTCAAACTCATGTGGAACATTCACCAAGACAGACCACATTCTAGGCCATAAAACACAGCTCACCAAATTCAAAAGAATAAAAATCATGCCTAGTATGCTCCCCAACCATAATGCAATTAAA